CAAATCTCAGTATTGTTACCAGCCCTAGGAATTCACAGGCTCTTAACCCTCATCTCACCATTTTACCACTTGGATTCCATTCCCAGCCCAAGTAGCACTTGCTGTGAGCCCTCCAGGACCAAGCTCAGCTGGGGCACAGATGGCTGCAGCTCTCTTTGGTTGGTGGAGTGGCGCTGGCCCTCCAACAGTGCAGAGTTTGTCCCTGTTGTGCTCTCCTTGCATCTGCTGACTTGCCAAGGGTGGTATTTCTTTGCAGTGGGCTCTGCTTTCCCCGCTTGTGACCCAGATTTCAATGTTCTGTATCTAAAAGGAAATTAATAGGACCTGTTACTGCAGCTGGGGAAGTGGTGGGCAGTGAAGGAAGCTTCAGTCCTGCTTTTTGTGGGTAAATTGAGCATGTTTTGAAACCATTTTCAGTAACTCATGCCCTGATGTTGCCATGCTTCACCTTCTGCAGCACCTGCTGTGCAAGACTCTTCTTGGTTGCTAAGAGGCATCATTACCTGGCTGTGGGATGTGTTTCCAGGGCTTGCCTTCGTGGAAGGGAAACTGAGGCACACACCTGGCAAATCCCACGTGTGAAGTTATTGGATGGAGATGAGCTCAGAGCTTAGTTCTGAGCTGTTCCAGGCTTTGGACCATCCCATATGGAATATCTAAGCCAAAGGGAAAGGTCAATCTAAATATATAGGTAAGCCAGGTCACCTGAAGAGATGTCAGAGGAGTTGTCCCCCTGCTCCAGCAACCGTGGCAACATCCCTTCACTCAAACCCAGTGATCCTGCTGGCTGCTGCAGCAGTTTACCGTGCCCAAACCCAGCACAAATGAGGGACCAAGGGAAGGACCTCCAGTACTGGGAGGCATTGAACTGACGGAAGGATTTCCAGTTGCAGAGGTGGCAAGAAATGTCACCCTGTTGTCCCTTGGCCCATGGGGAGTGCCTGTGTGCATTGGTACAACCTTGCACATGCGTGACTCAGAGTGTGCATCATGCAGGACCTAATCCAGCTCAACAAACCCGTGCTCAGCGTCCTACTTGGTGTGCTGGCTGCTGTTTTGACGTCTCTGAGTTGCTGGGATGGCAGGGCCCTGTAGTCTTTTAATTTAGCCCTGTCTCAGCAAATGGCTGACATTCTCAGAACTGAATTTTGGAGAGAAGGGAGATGAAAATCCAGAGGAAATTGCTGTCTTCCCGCAGTGCTGACTCCGAGCTGTTTGATATTCTCTCTTTTTTAAGGTTTGCTTGTTTTAAAGCAACATTAATTAGAAAGATGCTGGAGTGTCAAATAGAAACCACTCCCTGAATAACCTCGCTAATGAGCATGTTATTAAAGCAGGGTTAGGAGCTCCCTAGAGGGCTCTCACTGGATAGGATTAAATTAAAAAAAATAATCATCTAAACTAGAGAGAAAATCTCTGTTAGTCTGCAGTGATGAATGTGGAAAAGTCCAATGAAAAATGGCTTTGAAAGGTTTAAGCGTATGTCTTCCTATCAGAGATTCGTCTTCTCCATCCCTCAGGGCTCGCTCAGGCAGGAAAGAAGGTTTTAATGAAGCAGAGGGTGGAGGAGTTGCAGCTCAGAGCCTGGCAAGCTCACTCTTCAGGTAGTCACATCTCCATGCCCCCAGCTCTTGCCCATGCAGGACAGCAAGGGAAGTCCCTGCGTGCCGCCAGGATGGATCTTGTCTCTGCCCAAGCAATGTGACTTGCAGGAGGCAGTGAAGCTGGGGCTGCTGAGACCTTGCATCAGGAGATGAGAGGGTGCCAAGAGGTTTTCCCAGGCTCCATTGCATAAAGCCCTGCAGTGCTCTGACCGCCTTGATCCTTTGAGGTGGTGGCATCTCTTGCTCTCCGTTCATCGACCTCTCCCATAGGCCTGGAGGCATCTATGGGAGGAAGCAGACAGCAGTAGTTCTGGGGCATATGGGGCTATGAGATGGGGGTCACACATTCACCTGCCTCTGACAGCAGTGTGGGGGTGCTGGTCCCCACCCCAGCTCCAACCCAACACCCATGAGCCGTGGTTGCTGGGGCAGTTTTGGGGAGGGATATGGAAGGAGAGGTTTTGTGGTCCTTGTTCCCACCCTTCCTGCTGGAAAGGATCCAGAAGGATTTAGGGCAGGAAAACTGTTCTCCTATCATCTGAAGACAGGCATGAAATGCTTTAGCAAAGCTTCCGTGCAGTCACTGATGACTTCCAGAGGAATTCCAGCTTTTCTGTGGCTTGCCCTTGCTTCCCATGCATGATGGACAGGTCAGCCCTGCCCCAGCCGCACTGGGGGGCTGGCTTGGGCAATGATTTACTGCACCTGCAGCCAAGGAGCTTAACAGCTTAAGGCTCTTCTTTTCCTGCAGTACCACGGACCACATTTGCAGGGGAAGCTTGGCTGCCTGGGCTGCTCCTGCCCAGATATTTGGGCTCTGCAGGCACGAACATCTCTTCAGAGAGGATTTTGTCCGTGTGCAGAAGGAGGTGTATTGCCTGCCTTTGCAAAGCACTGTCTGACAGGCTGATGCAAAACATGCCAGCACCAAGCTGTGACTCTAAACAAAGAGAGGGAAAACACTATTTTTATTTGCTCTGCTGCTGCAGTGAGTTGGGATTTTTTTCCTTTTTTTTATGCTTTCTTCTTGGTTTTTTTTTTTTTGTTGTTGTTGCTTTTTCTTTGCCTGAGACAGGTATTTGGATTCTCTGTGTTGCCCAAACTCTTCCTCAGGCTGTCTCCAGCAATCAGACAGAGTGACAGCTCTGAAACTCTCCAAGTTAACAAGTTCAAGTGCTGATGATTAACTAGATTCACAAAGTTGATTGGAAAAAAATAGGGATATAAATAAATATTCCTGGAGATATTCCACCCCCTGTAGTCATGAACTTTGAATAATTGGAGGGAATTATGCTGAGTACTAATCAAAAGGGTTGGGTTTTTTTTTTCTAATTTGCTAATTACTGCTGGGTTTCATCAGTGTCAGACTCTAATCATCTCAAGACATGTTAATTGACCCTTGGGAGTTGTTTATCTGATGCTGAAAGTTTTAGATGGGGTCATACAAAGAAATGCAATCACTGAGGTTACTTCTTGCCTGCCACTCAGACAGAGGGAAGAGTTGAGAAGACTTTGGGTCATGAGGACTTGTGTGCTGCACTTCCCATCGGTTGAGCTCCAGAACAGCTCCTCATGGATATTGTGACTTCTTCCATCCACTGGGGACCTTCTCTGTCTTGTCCTTTCCACATCAGTATCCGCTCTGCAGGCCTGCTTTCTGTTACACGCGCAGATACTAACTGTGGTGATCCACATTCAGCTAACAGAGAGTGCTAACAGAGACGTCCCTGGGGGATGTGACAATGCTGTAATGCTGCCTCTTTCCACGGTAAAATCTGCTGGGAGAGGTTTGTGGTGCTGCAGGAGTGGGTGGAGGCTTCTGCTGTGGAGTGCAGGCATCATTGTGGATGAGGGTGAGGAAGGTGTCAGGGTGTGTTGCTAAGCAAATTCAGATCTTTACCTCCAGACATTGGCCATCCTACAGTGACCAGAAGGAGATGAGAATGAAGAATCACACTGTGCTGGGCCACTGCTGGGACCACAGATGGCTTCAGTCTCTCCCTGAGAGTGTCTGGATGGTGCCTCCTCTCCGTGGAAAGAAGGATGTTAACATGCACGCTTTAGGGTTGGGTCATCTTTGCAAGGTATGTGTATGCAGATCAGTCTCCTCCATAAGCCACGTAATCTTTTTCCATTATTACCCCAAAATTCACTTCCCAGACAGTTTCACAGCCTGGCTGCCTCACCTATCTCATGTCCTATTAATGAAGCCAGAGGAGGTGGGAATTAGTGAAGTAAAAGTTGGGGTGCTGTGGACCAGGGAGGCACTGAGTAAAGGGCTGATAGTTCACCAAGAGTCTCAAGGGCAGAGTTCAGGAATGAAGTTGTTTTCATCATATAATAATTTTGATTAATGACCTTGGCATAAGAATTAGTCTTATGCTAATGAAACACTGGAGATGCAATGCTGGGAAGTATCCTCAATACAGAGTCATGTTATGTCATGCCAGAAGACCTGGGTGATCTCAACATGAGTAGAAGTGATTAAATCTAAAAGAGCCAGCAGTGCAAGGTCAACCATGTAAGGGCAGATGACGAGAACTTGTACTACAGGCTGGGAACAGAGCAGCAGCTCGGGAAAATTGCCTGAGTCACCCAGTTAATGGTGGGTGACTACCACCGCAGAGATGCAACCCAGTCCCAGGACGGGTGTGTTGTATCTGTCACAGAAGGAAGTGGATATAAAACAAAGTAGGAAGCAGAGGAACATTCCCAAGTGGTGTGTTACCCCTATGGCATGTAGGGGCAGCACCAAGAGCTGTACCAGGCTTGTGAAGAGGGCTGAAGCCACCACATTGGTACCTTCTACAGTATGGTGTAATGGGGCAGCTGCTGGAAATACGCAAAGAAGATGTTACTTTGAAGGGCTTTATAGAATCATAGAATAGTTTGGGTTGGAAAGGACTTTAAGATCATCTATTTCCAACTGCCTGCCATGGGCAGGGACTGATCTGGTTCTTTGGCATTGCCCTGTGGAGAGACAAGAATCGGTACAAAGCACCTCTGATGGCTCTAGCTGCATCCATGCTGTGCATCTGTGGGAGGAGGAGCTCTGAGGCAGGATCATGCTTCTGGAAGAAAAGAAACGGTGTTCCTGATTTACAAAGCCTTGCAGGTGATGGTGGGAGGTTGAGGAGCCGGGCCAAGTCGCCTTGTGAAAGCTGATAGCCAGATTTCCCCTAACTCCCAAATGAATCTTTAAAACGTATCATTGTGAAGGACAGGGATTTGCCCCCACATCTGGAGCCTGCCTCTGCCCCACACTGCTCTGCCCAGCCACAGATGGTACCCAGGCAGGTTTGGAAGCTGGAGGGAGACCACAGCATCTCCTGAGGCTCCTGGTACCAGCCCAAACCCTTGTGGTGGAGCTGCAAGCCCCGAGGCTGAGCTCTGCACATCCACCTTCCTGGTGACAGTGATGGAAGGACCCATGTTCCCATCCCTGACTGATAATATTTCACCACCTCTTTTGTACCCATTTTCATTTTGATTCCAGGGTAATTTGTATCAGTTTATGAAATGTGGCCTTTCTTCCATCGCATAAGAACACAAACCCAACTGTGACGTTGAGGTGTTATTGACTTAAGGCGTATATATGCGTGTGGTTTTATTTGATCATCTTCATTATTCTAATTTTTCCCTTCACGTCTTCTTTTTCCTCTTTATTACATTGCTGGCTGTTGGAGGCCCTAGGAGTAGAAATAACATTTCTAGATAATATTTCTTCATAAAAAACATCATTTATTATTGTTTCTCTCTAACAGTAAATGCCAAGCTCCTTCTCTCATTTGTTATAAGCCTAGTTTAGCATCTTTTCTGGCAAGGCTTAGATAGATCCCTGAACACAACAGCCCTTGTGTCCCCATCCTGGCTGTGCCCAGGTGTAGGTGTCCTGACAGAGGTCAGGTCTCAGCCGCTGACAGCCTGTCACATGTGAAGGCATGGCCAGTCCTTGCTGCCACAGCAGGAGCCAAAGAGTGGAAGAGATTTCTTCAGGCTCCTGTATTTACCCTATAAGAGGTAAGAAACTCCCCACAGCAGTGCCTGATCCTGCACCCCTTGTTGTCATCAAGTCAAGATGCTGCTTATTTAATCCCAGCTCAGATCCTTCCTCTTCCATTCTCTTCAGTAGTTCATCTGAAAGCAGAGGTGTCTCCAGAAGACACCTGAGCTCTTGTTTGCTGTATTGCTGTTTCAAGGAAAACCTTTTCTCTGAAAGACACAAAAATAACTAACGGCATTAATATAAACACACACTTCAACCACTGTTTAAAATTGTCACTGGGTTAAAAAAGAAATACTGGTGCTGCATCCCAAATGCACAATAATTACGTGGCGAATCTCTTTATTACAGGGTGTCAATCAGGCAACAATTTAGCTGTGAGTGAAATCGCTTTGTGTCTCCACTGATATTCCCAACACGGAGCTGCAGGCTTTCTCCTCTCCGTGATGCTTCTTGAGGTCTGTGTGTCCGTGCCGTGTATGTCTGCTTAAAACGTGGCTGTAGGAAGGAGAATTGGGCACAACATCTGCACTTGGCTCTAAGGGAAGGAAACGATTCTCCGAAGTACCTGTCCATCAAAGGAAAACACACAAATACTTGTCCTAATCACGTGCATCACCAGGTGATGCTCACAGGCAATTGGACTGCAGTCCTCCAGCCTGGATGTGCAGGTTAATCCTATGGAGTCCAGGTCTATGGACCACAGTGTGGTGGATTGTTTTGGCCTGGACGCTGCATGGTTTGGACTCCTCCACCAGTCACTTTAAGAGAAAGCTGTTCAGTTTTGTGTCTAAACACGGTAGTGAGCTTCTGCTTTCCATCAGAGATCTGTAACCCTATTGATCCTCCCTTGTCTGAGCTGGGAGCTGGAGAATAGATGCTAACACCTGAGCCTCTTGGAGCTCAATAGGAGGGTGAGAAATGCAGGCATTTTCCCGCCTGGCAAAGGGCTTTCTCTTCATTTTCTCCTGCTGCCTCTGCTATCAGCTGCTGGGATCTTGTCTGCAACTTCTGCAGGGAGATAAATTCTCAGGGAGAGATAGCGCATATATCCTCTGGGCCTACACAGCAGCAGGGACTGCATGGCTGCAACGAGTCTCTCCCTTTCCCAGCCATCCTGGCCATTGTTCACTTAGGGAAAACCTTTCCTTTCCTTTTCCTCTCCTAGTCTTATTCCTTCTCTCCTCCTGCTCCCTTGCAACTCCTCTTCCCTCTAACACCTTCTCTGCTCTAACACTGGTGGGTCAGGCTGTGGGCTGTGTTCTCTGAGGGGAGTGTGGGTCTGGTGTGGAGCAGTGAGGGGTGGGTTGGAGTAGGACCATAAACCTCACATCCTTGCTGGTTTGTGAGGGTCTGAGAAACCAAGGATGTGGTTTTCTTCTCCACATCCCCCCTTTCCCCTGCCTGTAAGGAGCGTCGTGGCTGCTGTGCTGCTGCTTCCCATCAGGGCCTGTGTTTCAGCAGCTCTCAGAGGACATGATACCAAATCACTTTGGGAATGGCTTATGATAAAAGTGCAATACAAACAGATAATATCATCATACTCCACTGTTAACAGGCTTTTATTCCAAGGATGGGGAGAAGTTCCTGTGGAGAGCAGAGCTATCTCTCAAAGGCTTCTGCTGCAATTTAAAAGCACTCCCTAGCCTGGGGAGGATAATTTCACATCTCTTTTTCTCCAGGGTATATATCAGGGTTTCTCCCTGCTTGAGGCTGGAGCCTTCCCTCCTGATTAGATTCAGCCAAGAGGGTTTGGTTATTGCTGTCTCTGAGTCCTGATGGAGCGTGATAGAGGTGCCCAGCTGCACAGAGCTGCCTGTGTGTCCTGTCCCCTGGGTGAGGACAGACCCTGGGGTGGTAGCTTGTCTCCTTTCACCAGACCCTGCTCAGCTCTTGGCATGAGCTCTCTTTGCAAGCACATCCCCATTCCCATGGGAAAACAGCTCCATGTTCTCACTCTCCCACCCAGGATTAATCCTGTGCCATGGCCAAGGGTCACTTTACAAAAGGACATGTTGGTTGCAACAACCCCACTATGGCCAAATCATGCTTGCTGAATGGTGCCCCTGCAAATGTGTCACCTCTGGGGGGCTGGTTGCTGTCTGGCTCACCCTTCCTCCTGCCCCAACTCCACACTTCCCTCTACCCTCCCTTCCCAGTGGGATTTTGTTGCAAGCCATCAGGATGCAAACCTAAATCATCACCGCTCTTTGGTCTGTGCCTCCCCATCTCCTCTCCCATCCTCTTCAACCACCTCCCTGCCATGTGATGGATGAGGCCAACTCCAATGCCTGCAGTGCCACAGTGCAGCCATGTGCTCCCATGAGCCACCCATCTTGGGGCAGGCACTGAGGACAGCAGGGCAGTCATTGCCTGGTTTTACTTACTGCTGCCACTATAGTCCTTGGCTGGTCCGTATGGGAGAGTCTCATGGATGAGGCAGGAGTCAGTAAAAATAAGGTAGAAAAAAGGCATGAAAGGCCAAAATCATTTTCCTAATTAAAGCAAATATCCCACCTTTTCAGTTTGCATTGAGGGATGGAAATTATTTCTCTTGGCTGGGAAGGAGGTATTTATTTATATCCAGGTGTTGCTGGTGTGGATGGTGTCTTGACTGGGCTTTTTTGTTTTGATGCCTTTCTGAAATAGCCATGTTTTCATGCATTAGCTTTGGTTTCTCATTTGAACAGTGGATTCCTTAAACTGGGTCCTTCCTGATGGGGAGACAAAGATGGAGATTGGGTGTAGGGATGTCCTCAGCAGGAGGAATAGGAGTAGTAAGTAAGGAGCTGTGCTACAGCCCCACAGTATCTTCATGAGAGCATCTTCAATCCCTGCCACTCACTCTCCCACCAACATCAGCGCAACGCACAACCGGGCCCCAGTTCAGACAACATCTTAGTTCTGGCTGGGTTTAAGTCACTGCATTTTCCCTTCATCTTTTCTATTGCAGTGGGGGCTTTTCCCCCACTTGGCGTCATTTCGCTGCTCATCTCCGGCTCAGACAAGGCAGGAAACGTATTTTCAATGTATTAATTAAAATGCCTTTGCAGCAGAACATCTGCATGGAGAGCGATAGATCACCGGAGTGTGCGTGCATGTGCGTGCGCGTTGCAGGCTTCCAGATAACGCATTGCTTTGCATAATTTATTCCAGCCAGCACAGCAATAAGTTTCATAGCCTGTGATCTTCAAGTATGTGATTATCAATGTGCAACTGAGCTCCGCATGACCCAAACGTTAGATTATTGCCAGATAAACCTATAGGAGATGCAGGATGTTTGGATCTCCATCATTGTCAGCCAAATGGTTTGTATGGAATGAGATGAAACATTCTGTTTTGTTAGATCGCACTGTACAGAAGTGATGGGTCTCCTCAGGTATTCATCACTGTCAGCTATTTGAGGAGAGGATGGTCATTGCCAATGATGCTATTCAATTTCCTGATTGTTAGCTCCTATCGGTTTAGCTTAGAAGATAATAAGATAAGAAAGAGACTTTCCAGTCAATAAAAGGAAATCTCAGAGGCTTTTTCCATCTTGCATCTGTCATATTTTGTTGATGTTTTAGCTGCAGAGCGTTTGACAGCTGGTTGTAAAACTCTTATTTCCCCCTTTGAGAGAATTAAATGAAGAACATTTAATTTATCCCACCGAGGTTTCCCCAAGTGACCCGTGGAACAGGTCCTTTTCTGGCAGCTGAACCCAAACTGGAGGAATTTGGAGCTTTCTCCATCTGGGGGAGAAAAAAACAGTGATTTCATTACCCTTATGCTTTCTTTTTCCTCATCAAATCAATTCTGTGTTTTCCACCACTGGTCCCACCTCCTGTGAGTCCCACAAACCACCTGTCCCTGCCAATGGCAACCAGCATCTCCTGTGTAGAGATCTTGATGCTTGATCGCACTGGAGTCCATGCATCTCCAAGCACTGGTGCAGCTGGGAATGGCAACTGGGTGAGTTTCTCCTGCACCAGGCGTATGGTGCCTCCCCCTTAGGGTGGGCAGACACGGAGGCTGCTGCCTGGCTACATCACTTGCGACATCCCAGCCCATTTAGTGGGTCAGGACGTTAATGGGCTAATGGTTAATGTCATTAATCAATATCAGGCGAAGGCTGCCTTAACTGTGCCAAGGGCAAGTGGCTGCCTCAAAGCAGCATAATAATTATGTATAGCCCAGGTAATTATTTTTGTCATATCTTCCTGGCAGGAGAAGACCATTTGTGGGATGGGTTTAGCTCCCTTCCACAACATGCCTATGTCTTATTTATCCAGAACAATACACTCAGTGTGATTTGGTTTTTGCTTCCTTTTCCCTTTTAACGTTGTTTCCAGCCCACACTGCTTTGAATTCAGTGAGGTAAATGGAGCCTGCGAGGGGAAGCTGCAAAAATCCTCTGAACTCCCATTCTCCAAGCAAACCATTCCCCTGGGATCTGACGGCACTGCTGAATAACAGGTCCTTCCCCTCCCAAGGGGCTTGTGAGTCTCGGTGGAGACAAATGCTATTTTGGATGGCTGTAGTCACTGCAGTCTCATCGCAGCTTTGCAGGCTCCCCGGCGGCTCCTTCCTTACCTGGGTACCTCTGAGTCAGTGGCCCCTCGTGCTGTGCTATTTTGAACGTTGGGTCACTAAAGGGGAAATTACCAGGGTCCTGTCGCTGCGGGTTGGTGTGGATGGAGGAGAGTTGCTCCTCACACTCTTATTTCAAGGTTGTGCTCAGCCTGCCCGGATTTTGATGAAGAAGATGAAGGACCAGGAGGTCTGCGCTCCTGGGATGCTGGGGGAGAGGAGAGGCATGGTGTGACTCATTCTGCACCCTTTTCCAAATCTCTTCCTGAATACGTTCATGGATCTCTGGTCAGCCCTAAAATAAGAGAGGATGATGAGATGGTGTTATTAATCCCAGATCTGGTGTACTGGAGAGGTGGATTCCCATCTGAATTTCAGTTTGTCCACTGCTTTCATCCATCTTAGTTTTTTTCTGCTTTTCAGAGCCAAAGAGTTCAAGCGGCCGTGGCTGAGACCCAATCAACCCTGTCTTGTACCTTCACCAACACATCTTGGCTATTCTCTCATTTCTCCCCATCTCCCTTTGGCCCCAAAATCATTTAACCCTTAAATATCTAGGTGGTCATGCACAGGAACCAGTAGCCAGTGTCCATGGTGGCAGTCAGATTATTGCCCTGCCATTTCCCCTTGTTGTGGGCATCTTGAAGGTCCTGGTGAGGTTTTCCTGTCTGGATTTAGCACCCATCATCTGTTGTATCTGCTGTGGAGTTACACAGCCTTGAAAGACACACTCTGTTTTGCATGGGGACAACCTTCAAGAGTGTTTAACACACGAGTGCTCACTCAAAGGTGTCCTTTCATTTACTGCTTTCACCATCAGCAATCTATAAAGGTTTAGGGTGCCTTAGGGAATTGCATGCTTTAACATCTTTGCCTCAGTAACAACACAGCTGCCTCTGGTGCAAACAGGCATCTCCTGGCCCCTTCCCCACCACATCAGACTTGGCTTTCTCCCTTCTCCTTCCTCTTCCTCTGGGTCTACTTGCAAAGTGTTTGCTGTAACTCCTGAAATGGATATAGTAGCAATTTGGGTAGAAGATGCTGTTTAAAGCTCTTTAATTTAAAGGATGCTAATTCACTCCACTCCAGCCTCAGGTGAGTTATCAAGCTACATGGAAGCCTCCTATACTCCGTGTGTCTAACGGGAGCTGATTTTTCCCAGTCAACATTTAGAGACTTTGCTGAGCCCAGGACCTGCAGGGTATCCCACGGAGGATGACGGGAAGAGCAGGGAGCTCACAGGAAGCAGAGATGCTTTGGAGCACCATCCCCATGGAGCTGAGATGTTGTCGTGGATGCTGTATCCCTGGCCAGGGCTCCCTGTAGCCCCTTCTCCTGCAAACTCTCCCTTGTCTGCCCTGCTTGTGACCACAGCACAGAGACAACCTGAGGCAAGGCTGCGTTCAGCAGCCAGGGATCGGTGTGAAGGCAGTTGTTGGGAATAATAACAAGAAACTTGGCTACAGATCTCCATCGTGCAGCCACTGCTGACCCCCAGCAGGTCGAGTGCTCCAAGGACTGTAGCTAACCCATGTGAAAAATTGGCTGGAGACCCCCAGACCTATTCAGCCTCCAAGCCAAGCTGGATAAATACCTCTTCAAGCTGAGGGGACAGCTCCAGTGAGAAGCTACAGCGTAATTCCCTGTGCTTCAAAGACCCTCACACCCCATCCTGAATAATTCCAGCCCTGTGCCCCAGCGTGCTCCCTAATCTCTCAGGCTGCTCCATGTGCCCCTGCCCAATTGCTCTGCAACCTCCCCCCATGTGATATTGCAGGATAGCCCGCTGCATTAGCAAGTGGAACTTGTTTTTACTGCCCAGTGTCTCTCTGTGCAATATTTCACTGTCTCGCTGGCTATTATCCTGGCGGCACAAAGTCCCATTGAAATTCATGGTGCAAGTCGCCCATTTGTTTCCTTTGAGCTTTGCAGGGTTGTTCTGTGCAGCTTTATGCATATCACTCCTGCGATGCAAAGTGAGGGTAATGACTTTACCTGCTCTCTTTCAAAGCGCTGAACAAAGCCTGTCCCCATGCTGTAGACTGATTTTGGAGTATTTGTTCTAGGGTTTGGGAGGGATGAATCAGAGCTCTTAGGGAATGTGCAATCTGATGCTCTGTAAATACAAAGAAAGTCAGGCTGCTTCTACATGTCTCCAAGGCAGGAGTGTGCTCCCTGTCAACCTTTCTTGCTGGGGGCCAACTTCAGGGATGGCTTTGGCGAAGCTCAGTAGTTTCATCTCAGTGACTGGAATAGCATCGCTTGGTTTGGCTCTGCCTTTTGAAGGACAGATGAGGTCTCTCATACATGGCAAGGTGAGATTCCTTGAGCAAAGGGTCAGTGGAAATGACCTCACATGCACACAAGGAGTGTAGGAGAGCTGAAGGCAAAGCAAGAAAGGAAAGGCTTTGCTCTGAAGACCTTCGGATCCAGTCTGACTTGCCTCTATCACCACCCCAAAACAGACTAGACACTGGATACGAGTAGCATGCCTTTAATGTCTTAAATGATGCCCTCAAATCAGTGGCCACTTGTGAAAATGGGGGTCATAATGTCTATGCTTGGGCCTGTGCAGTGCTAAGAAGGGCAGAATCAAGCCTTTTCTCTCCATCCACTGATGTTTGGAGGTAGCTAAGAGTACAGGG